TTGCTTGTGTGGATATTCCAACGGTAAAAATAAAATCCACCTGTTAGACCCACTTTAAAACACCCGATTTTTCTATTTTTTCTCTCAAGAATGCCCTAATTCCTCTTTCGTCTTCTTCCTTTGCAAATTCGTCATTTTCCCCTTGTACTGAAGCTTAGGTTTCCAAGCTTGAATCTTGATCTGATTTCTTCCTCATCTTTCTCATTTATCAGTTTCATGTCACAAAAATCAACAACTTCTCGCAATGGAATGGAAATTTGCCACTGTGGATTTAATGCGCCATTGACTATATCATGGTCATATGCAAACCCAGGTCACCGATTTTATGGTTGTAAATTGGTAAGTCGATCGTATTGTTTTTTCTAGACCCTTGAATTTCTTAATAAAGAAATCTGTTTTTAATTTTTTTTGGCCGCATTTCTTTTTGAATTTTGTAGGGTCGAGGTGGCTGCAAATATTTCATATGGCATGATGATGAAATGCCTGACCAAGCTAAGAGGGTTATACGAGGTCTGTTGAAGAGAGTCGAAAGAACTGAGAAAACAGTTGCGCGGTTGAAGTGGTTATTTGTTGTGGTGGTGGTGTTGTTTCTATGAATTTGGCTTTGGTGATGCTGGTGGTTTGAACTTTGAAGAACAATGTAGTATTTTTATAATATGCTGGTGCTAATAGTATTGTAGTTGCTACTATTAGTTCAAGAAAAATGTAGTATGTTGGAAGTAGGTACTAGAAATTTGGCCTTTTGTTAATGTACACTATCGTGTTATGAATGAAATGGAAATGACCAATTTTTAATGCAAATTTACGTTCAGCTGCACTTTCATAATATGTTATGAATGAAATGCAAATTCATATTCATGAATTGAAAATATAACTGCCTAAACATTTCATTGCATAATGTGATGGACTTACGTTACATCCAAGCTCAAAAATAGAGCATTGTTTTGGTCTACAAATTATAAAAAAATTCTCAAACATATAACTGCCCAAACTAGTAAACTCTAATAGAGCATAACTGCCCAAACAAAAAATTGGTAGTGACATCTTAGATAACATAAATAAAAATTGGTATGCTTCACAGTGTAGATGCAACTGAACTTGTTTGACTTGAAGAACTTTTTTTCCTTGTTGCACTCATTTGCTGAAGTTGTGACCTTGTCACTGCATTTCTTCCTTTAAACTTCAATCCGGAGGGCTTAAATCCAATGTCTATGTTAGTTGCAGATGTATCCTTGAATGTCCCAGCTGATATGACTCTCTCAGATGATATACCAGGCTATAAAATATAATGAATTAGTAAAAAAATAGAACAATTTCAGCCAACAAAACTGCATTATAATAAACTATACACCATTAAATTCAGGATATTAGTTCCAGTCATAGTGTTAGTGAAAATCCCAAAACCAGTATGCCTTGGCCTTTTATATCCAATGGCTGATGCATTAGCCGAGCCTCCTCCTAGTGTAGTTCCTCTTCCTTTTCCACTACCTAGTCTATGGCCTCTTCCTCTTCCTCTTTCTCTACCAAGCCCAGTTGATTGGTTGTTTCTTTGTCTTTTGACAACACTTGTATCCTCACATATAGAGAATGGATTGCTTTGTTGAGGTGGTATTTCCTGAGATGATCTTGGTGGAGGTGGTGGCATATTTTGACTTTGTTGAGTAGCACTTCTTGGAACATGCTAACAAAAGTAAAAGAAAAGAATATTAAAATTGAAAAAAAAGAATATAAAAGACAGAATTACAAAAATCAGAACTTACCCCTTTCCTGCATCTAGATTTGTTGTGTCCTATTTGTTGGCAGTTTGAACAAGTCATCTTTACCCCTTTCTTTGATAGTTTACCATGCTTTTTTCTTGGTTCATCCTTGGCTTTTCTCCTACATCTCTTTGGTCTACCTGGCATAGGTTTAGGTTCTGGAGGCTCTATAGATGGATTTGTTGAATCCGACCACATCTTCATGTTGGGAATTGGTTGAATGAAATGATGGTAAGCTTTAAGGAAAGTTTCCTTCATATACCAGTGGGCAACATAATCATCTGGGTCCATTTCTCTATTATAGAATGCACATACTGCATGTTGACATGGAATGCCCTTCAACATCCATGATCTACAAGTACATGTCATGGTCCTAAAATCAACAATGAATCTGTACATACCTTCATCAACTTTAAACCCATGTTTTGCATTCCACATAACCTTACACCTCCTAGAAAGGGCTTTGTTCTCTTCCAGTATCATTCTAGCCATTGGTGTAATGTCAGTAACCCAAGTCTCAGCAAACTTCCTCATTTCAATGGTCTTATTCATGATTTTATGTCTAATTTCTTCCAACAAAGTTATAACAAACTTGTGCCTAGGACCTACTATCCAAGAATTGAATGTTTCACATATGTTATTCTCAATGACATCACACTTTGAATCTTCTCTAAAGTATCCCCTACACCAATACTCTTTATCATACTTCAACAAGTCTTCACATATCTTATAACCAAGCTTATTCATTGCTTCCAGTTCTTCCTTGAATTTTACTTCATAAGATGCTTTGGCACATCTCCATAATTGTTTCCTCCTTTCTTCACCTCTCTAGTTCTTGGACCAGTTAGACCAAATGTGTCTATCACACATTCTGTATTCTACCATTGGTAGTAATTCCTTTATAGTTGGTACTAGTCCCTACAAAAAATAGTAATAACTGTTAGTGGACAGTATATATAAAGCAGGAAAAATTAAAATTAAAAGTTGATTGTAACTTTACCTTTTGCATATCTGACATAACAGTTAAACCAACACCATCTCCCAACTGTAAATCTGCAATCAAATATGTGATGAACCAGCTCCAGGAGTGTTTTGTCTCTTGATCAACTACAGTCCATGCAATAGGGAACATTTGATTGTTCCCATTTCTACCAACTGCAACAAGTAACTCACCCTTGCAGATTCCCTTTAGAAAACAACCATCAAATCCTATAATCCTTCTGCATCCTTCTAACCATCCTCTTTTCAAAGCATCTAAACATAGATAGAAATAGACAAACAGATTCTTGCCAGGAATAGTCTCACTATCTGTTCTGATCCAGCATGAACTCCCAGGATTTGTTTGCTTAATAATATCAGCATAATCAGCAAGTCTGTTAAATTCCATCCTCCAGTCACCCATGAATTGACTTATCACCCTACACTTAGCCCTGTAACAAACAGTCCTTCCAACATACAAACCTAACTTATCCCTGACCAAATCATAAATCCCCCACAACTTAATATTTGGCTGGAAAATAATTCTATCGTTATACTTATTGACAATGTACTTAGAAGTACATAATTTGTTCTTATTTTTGGTGTTGCACTTATGATCTGGATGGTACTTCTTCACAGTAAAGTCACACGAATCTCCATAATTGCCTGCATACAATTCCTAGTTACACTTGGCTCATTTACACTTAACTCTAACCCTATCATTTTTATTAGGCCTAATTGTTAGTTGCACTTTGTTCTCCACAGCATATGAGGCTACTGCTTTTCTAAACTCTACAGCATTTTCAAATACTATACCAAGCTCAAAAATAGTAAGGTAACAGTCAGGGTCAAACCTTACCTTTTTACTTCTCCTTCTAGGAGGTAAGTCAATACCCTTTTCAGCTAAAACATCTAACTCATATGTGCTATCATCACTTCCAATATCAGAACTGGTGTAATAGTCTTCATCCCCTCCTAATTTTCCAGCAAACTTGTCTTCCTTAGATGGTCTGCCAATATCCTCAAAGCCTTTATCTATTCCAGCTTCTCCCAGAATAATCTCTTCAGTTGGAGTAGGTTTCTTTCTTTGTTTCTTCTGTTTTTTCTTCTTTCTTCTTTCATGCCTTAATGAAGTGAGCTCTTCATTCACATCACTATCATCTTCATCAGGAATGTTATCTAATTCAGACTCACTACTTGACAGATCTGATGCCAAACTAGCATCTATGTTTGTTGTTTCTTCAGTCCCTTGTAAATTCTCACCTGCAACCCCAACATCAGCTAGATTTTTCTCAGGCACAGATGTGTTATCTGCAACACTTTCTTGGACATTTATATCCTCTGGAACAGTAGATATTGCCCTAACCTCTTTATTTAATGTATTTTCACTTGGTTCAACAACTTCTGGCCCACATAAAAGGCCACATGGGACAGTCTCATCAAGCAACATAGGCTCATTAACTGCATGCTTAATATACAAATCTAAATGATCAATATGATTAAGGTGACAAACTATATTATACAGTTGTTCATCATTTTCAATCAAGACGAAGACATTAGATTTAGGATTAATTAAATAAAAACCCTCTACCTCAGCATAACCCATATCCTTTGTGTAGGACGGAAGCTCAAAAAGAGAAAAGTGGTCTTTGTCTATCATGTGACCATCCTCACCCCTCTCTCCTACATATCTCGGGACAGGATCTTTGACAATATGTCCACCATGGTGAAAATCGACAAGAATATATTCGTCTGCAGACATGTTTAGACCCTCGAAACTTCAGTCACGACCAACTCCAGTCACGACCAACTCCACTCACTACCACGGTCAAACGAAGCAAACTATTACCCGTATTAGTAATATAATGGCCAAATAGTTGACAGACAATTGAATCTAACTCAAAATCGATGAAGATTCCACCGGGAATCGGTCTCAATATAGTTTATTAGGGTTTATTAGGCTAAAGAAAGGGGATTTTAGGTGGAAGATCAATTAAGTGAGGCGAGGTATGTGGGTAAGGTAAAAACGAGATTTTTTATCCGACCTGGATAAATAAACACATGTCAGACTATTATTGGTATGTTATTTCACATGGGAAGCGTTTAAAAATACGCGCTTAAGTTTTTACAGCCCGGTCATGCATTGTGTTTAAATGGTATAGTCCAAAGTACAGTTAAAGTGTTCAATAAAAAAAGAGCTAAGTTAAGATATCAAAATAAAAACTGGAGACAAGTTTAAAAGTCGTGCACCTATTTGGCCATAATTATCAATTGGTTATACCAAAAAACAAAAAACAAAAAAACAAAAAGGCAAAAGTACATTCACTCCACTACTTGTCTACTTTCATTAAAGGGTCTCTCTTCTACAGTCCCAAAAACACTGATCTGATCTGAAAGAATCAAAGGTAACCCTGAATTTCTAAATCCCAGATCTCTATGTTCTGCTTAAAATCATTCAGATTTATGTATATGCATATGATTTTGTCTCTATTTGTGTGTATCTGTGTGTGTATATAATTTTTCTTCAAAGTTGTGATCTTTTTGCTGAAAGTTTGATTTTTGGGATGAAGTTGAGTTTGGGTTTACGTTCTTGTTAATTTGTTGTTTGGTTGTTTGTCATTATTATGAGATTTTGGGTTTCACTTCAAAAAGCAATTCAGTTATGTTTAATCCTTTGAGAACCAGCTGTTTGTTAAAGTAGCAATATTGGGTGTTAATTCTTGGATGATTAAGGCTTGATTCAGATTTTTTGTTCAAGTAAAAGATTATTGATTCAGAAAGGGAGAGTGTGAGTAATGGGTATGCTATAGGTTTTGACTAGAAATTTGGGAATCTTAGGACTTCAGGTCAGGGTGTGTCTGTTTGAGTGGAAGATTAACTTTTTCCGGACCCCACATGTGGGATTACACTGGATTTGTTGTCGTTGTTGATGGAAGAGAACTTAGGCTGGTGTTGATGAATTAGCGGGGCAAAGATTTGAGGAGTAATGACTAGTTTGGTCGGCATTAGGGGCTCCTCGTTCGTTTTTAATTGGGAATGTGGTAAGAAAATATGGAGCCTTGGAGAATCGACAAGTTTCTCCATTCACCTCTAGCCATTGGAGGTAAAAGCGGAAGAAAGAGAAGACAACAGTTTCCAGCCACTTTTACCGATCATCAACCACATCCCCGAGGTCAGAACAACCAGGCGACCGAGATCATAAAGGAAAAAGAGAAAATGTGGTGCCTAGGGAGAACTCAATCAACTAAAAAGGAACGCGATAAAGAAGGGAGAGTGGAAAGGTCCTTTCCTCCATATTATAGTGGAATGTACAAGTCTGAAATTGTCTTAAGAGGCAAGAGAGCTCTTTTATTTGTTCTAGACCTTAAAGATAATGATGATTTTGGTTTAGTTCAGAGGATGGAAAGATGATTGGCAAGTGACTTGCGAATATTACTCTTCTAGTTGTGGCTAAGATGATATCTGTGTTTCTTGTTGTTTCTTTTCATTCTCACTGCATGCTTAGGATGCCCTGTGTTGGCAAATAGCTGTATTCTTCTTCTGATATGTGGTTGAAATGTAGATGTCACTTTCCACGTTTCCCTAGTTGGGAAAAAAAAAAAAAAAAAAAAAAAAAAAAAAAAAAAAAAAAAAAAGATTGCAGACTTCAAAACTTTTCAAGTTCTATTAATTTTTCTTGGTTCTTTTCTGAATTATTAACAGACTAGTAAGTGTGACAGTCTCCAAATGCTTAAAGTGTAATGGCTTTTCTCATTTCTGTTGTTTGACTATCTGCCCTGCTTCTTGCTTTCTGTTGTAGCTTCGTGCATTTCATCTTCACTGACTTATTTGAAAGTTTTGCTCTTATTTCTTGAATCAGGTTGTTGCTGGAACTCTTTAACAAGAGAGAATTGGAGATATGGGTCGTGGAGTCAGCTATGGAGGAGGGCAAAGTTCACTGGGGTACTTATTTGGGAGCGGTGAAGCGCCAAAATCAACCACGGAAAGTGCCCAAGCTGTTCAAAGTGAAGGACAGGCAATAAATAAAGAGCCAGCTTCAAAGCCTGCTGTTTCTGCTCCAGTTGATGCTGCTAAGCAGATTCCTGCTGGTATTCAGAGCACCCACTCATTTAACCATTTCAGGAGAGATGGTCAAAACACAGGCAACTTTATCACGGTATTGCCTTCATGTCAATTAGGATGATGTCTTTTGAAATGCTTATCTGGTTCATTTTCATGCTTTGCTGGAGAAATATCTTGATCGATCAGATCAATGTTATCAGGCATCTTCTTGATGTCATATATATCAAAAATATTGAAGTAAAAAGAACCTGAAGTAAATTTGCAAATAGATTAGCTTTCACTGATTATCACAAACAATGGATTGGACTGGATTTAGTTTATTGTCTCGTGATTCAGAAGTGATACATCGATTTATTAGATCCATTCAATTTTTCCTACCATCCATTTGCTGCCCAACATAAATGATCCTTCAATTTTTTAGGTTATGTAACATTTATTGGTTGCTGAAAACCAGAGTAAAGTCTCTGATGCGAAAGTTACATCATACAATACAGTGATTTAGTTATAAAAAACATCTAGGGATGTCTTGGAACATGACATGGTTTCCGACCATGAGGGTGATCTTGTGGTTTTCATACTTCTACCATCTCTGCCTTGCGCTTTAAGAGATGACTTTTGCTTGACTTACTGATTCGGATATTAGTGTGCTGTGCTGTTCGCATCTGTCACTGGTAGCCATTGCAATCAATGCCGGGTAGTTGTCCACCACTAACTGTTATATTTGAGAAGGATTTGCTAAAATAACTTACGAAGGATATTTCGGTTGAAACCCTATGCAATTCAGCTAATTAATCGATCCCTAGCATTCATCTCCAGATTTAACCTCTATGTTGATGAAATAATTTTTGTATCTTATAGCGGAGTAGATCTTGTTAACTTTAGTCTTATATAATCATATCAATGCATTGAGTTCTAGATAAACGTGTCTAGTTTTAACTGGGACTATTACCTTGATGCAGGACCGACCATCTACCAAAGTCCATGCTGCTCCTGGAGGTGGATCTTCTTTGGGATATCTCTTTGGCGATGGCAGCAGCTAAGCAATTCTCCAATCTACAGTTGGATAATTATCTTATTGTTTCTTTACCTTTTGTCTTTCGACTATGTTGTAATTGTAATTGCGAGTATTTCAGGTTGTTGTGAAGTGTTAATTGGATAAACTTCCGTCTAAAGTCCCAGTTGACACTTGAAACTAAAGTTACTACTATCTAATGTAATATGTGACTTTTGTTGATTGATCATTTGATTTAACAGCTTTTGTTGCCTAAATTTCATATGTTCTTGATTATATATAGTTGATAGTTTCAACTCAAATTTGGGAATACTTCATTCCTCAAGCAGCGATAGTATTTGATGAAGTGATGAACTTTATCCTGTTGATCGCTTTAATCGAAAGCATAAACTATTTGAGACGAGTTAAAGTCTCAGCAGCCTCTGTTGATGCTGTATTAAGCAAGGGGCTTCTCATTCCTTAGCCCCTTAAAAAGTTTGGTTTAGAAAAAGTAGTGGCTTTTGCTTCCAAGAACCACGAAAACTGTAGTCTAACAGTAGAGGTAGACTCTACTCCCTTGTAATCTTACCCAAAATCTGTTATACAAGATGTTTTCACCAATTTCCCTCTGTTATATTTGTTGGTAATGAAAAAAGAGAGATATCATCTCGATATCCATTAGTATGACTACTTGAGAATGTCTATGCTACTATGACGACTTCTATCTATCAAGTGGAACAGCTATGCTTTCATTGCCAACCATTTTTCTTTCTTTCTTTCATCGTCTCAAAAATCTATAAAAGTTCAAAATTGATGAGTTATAAGAGATTTTTACAGCAAGCATGGTAACATTCAGTTGGAGTCCATAAAAAATGGTCTGAGAGAGCATTTCATCCCACCTTAAGAACTCATGCGTACAAACAACTTAACCAAATGGAAATGAGAACAAAAGAAAGTAGCTCATTATTGAAGTAGGCAATGATGTCCTAAGAACAGCAACATATCTTGCATACAGTACATTTGACGCTTAACTATCCTCAGCAATGATCTAAGTAGGGAGTAGAGGCAACTGAAGAATGATTGAGTGCTGGCCGCGATTTAGTTCACGGAAACCTAAAATGACACAACAGAGACAACTGCATATAGAATAGCTATCACCAAATCAAAAGTCTTAGCAAAATCCAGTAGTGAAGTACCACCTCCGTTTCTAACTCCGAAACCGAAGCCGCCACGCACGTCATCATAGCCCCAGACATCGCCCCAATGTGGCCATTGTAATTTCCTCCTATGAAAAGCTTCTCGGTGTGCGGAATACCACACACAACCTCATCCAAATCCTCCCAGAAACGCCTTTTGACCTTCTCGTCCAACCCTACTTGAGGTGGGTATGCACTAATCACATTTAAAGTAATATAGACCAAAACAAATATTTACATTTGTTCGTATATAGCAAAATAAAATTGCATGGGAATTCATCAATTTCAATTCCTCTTCAAAGAGGTACAGTAATTGTTGCATTTGGTCTTGGAGGAGAGGGAGCTGGAATTATCCCCCATTTACGGCGAACATCTTCCAAATCCTCATGAAAATGTTTTTCATAGTACACACACATGAGATCTGTGGAACGAGCTCCAGCTTTTAGAGCCCATGGAAAGTAATGCTGGTAGAACAAGCTCCTTTGCTTGTCACTAAACCTAGCTGTACCCCCTAGCACAGACATCAAACACATGGGGAGTAACATCTGTTCAAACTCGATCACCTTTAGTGCTGTTTCTCCGATCAGGTTTGTTGGAAGGCCAAAAAGGGTGTGCCAGAAGTCGTGCACCTCGCGAGCACGCATAGCTACATATGCCAGCTCTTCAGTTTCCATGAATCGCACTGGTGGACGATCATCAGGTGAAAAGTTCCTAGATCCCATAAACTTTGCGTATGCAGCACCAAAAGTGTTATCTGGTAGGTCCCATGCATGCCCCACATTTGTGGAGATCACACGAGGTTGCTCCAACAGTATTTCCTGAGATAAAAGGTAAATACATCCAAAACATCAAACCAAAAGTATACATCAAACTAATTATAGACAACTTTAAAAAAGAAAGGATGAAAAGAGCCAACTGAGATAGTGAGTAGTCTAATAAAATGGCAAACAATTAAACACATTTCATAAGCTTTGATGTCAGTCATCTGAAATACTCAAAATTGTCAAAGTAACCTGACAGTACAGTGGCAAAACTGGACAACCATAAGATTTTGCATAATTTACTCCTATCCCACTTCTGATACTAACATTAAAGTTGCCCTAGCTGTATGTTAGTACGATCTTCCTTGTAACGATTAGCTCTATCAGAATTGGTACAGGTTGCTAGCATATACAGACATAGAGACCCCAAACTTTATAAGACAAGAAAGATGACCAGAAGCATGACAGACAGTGGCTTATTTGTTTGAGCTAGGACAAAACATAATGACTCACTAGGAAAGCAAGAGAGAAGAAAGACACAGCTAAGAGTATCTCAGCCTTTGCTTGAGCCACATTGTTCACCGCATAAGCGAGCCCCTATCTGCGCCTTGCATCAAGCTATCAATGCTCTAAAGTTGTACCTAGGTGTACCTCAACACCTGGATACATGCCTCAAACAGGTATAGGCAAGTTCACAATGCTTTCAGTTAGGTACATGGTGTAAGCGATATAAAGATTCCAAAATATCCGAAATCTCAAATTGAAGATACTAGCAGCTCCATTCAAGTAGTTAGCATGAATTGTATTTTAAATCTTCACTTTTGGTGTAAAGACTCTTCTGCAGTAGATGCTGAATCTATTTTGCAATTTTTGGAAGCCTTGTAAGGGTTGTAGCTTGTAAATACTGTTGCCAGTACATTTTGTACTGATGAATACAATGTTACCATTCTAAAGAAAAAATAGCTGAAATCTCAAATCTTAAGGTGGACAATGATGCAACAAAATAACTACATTGAAGCAGGGGATGCTTACAAGAGGGTAGTGATTGCACTAGAAAACAACACATTGCAATTTGGGTATTTGCTTGATGAAACAAGGGAGAGTTGGTGAGGCAAAAGAGACACTTCGGAGAGTTAAATCAGCAGTGGCAGATGGCCTCAGAGATCTAGATTCCCATCTCAAGGCATATGAGAGAGCACAGCAGATGCTCTGGCACCTCAATTATTTTATACGCCTCAAGAAGGTTGTATGCAGCATGTTGGTAAAAATAAGGTATTTACGCATATAAAATAACTGATGTGGTGTCTTCAGAATTCAGACATCTTTATCTGCCTGTGTGGAAAGCTAATCCTCAATAGAAGTTGTCACTTCTTTCTCAAAAAGATGCTGAAATCTTTGTACTTGCTTAACATGAAAGAAAACGAGAAGTATGAACTAGGCAAATCAGAGTCATATTATCAGAGAGCACTCAAGAAATTGGTTTTTTAGTGTTGCATCAAGAGAGATTAAGCACTAGTCATGATGAGTATGGTTAACAAATGCACAATCAAATTGGAGGTCATTGAAAGGAGTGATCAGTGTTTTTAAGAGCGAGAAGCGCAAAAAAGCGACAAGGGCTCGCCTCGCTTCAAAAGCGAAGCGCACGCTCTATTAAAGTGAAGCGCAATTCTTTAACAAAGACATAACATAAAATTATAAATAATCAAAAAGTTCAATTTAAAAACTTAAAAGTAGGTACTAGGTACCACCAAATCCTCCACAAAGCATAGGACAAGCAAAATCAAAGCTACTAATTTACTAGAATCAACATCTTATTCTTCTGCTCTTCTTGTTCTTCTTCAAGATTGTCAAAATCTTGAATTCCTCTATTATCTTCATATTGCTCGTCATCTTCTTCTTCCCCCTCCTCTTCCTCTTCATGATCACTTTCATCTTCATCAATTAGGGATAGGGATCGACTTGTAGTAGCCACACTTTTTCCCTTCCTAATCGAGCTTGAACTTGAAGTATTCCCCCTTAAACCATAAGGATTCTCCCCAACTCCACTAGCAACCGCAACATCACCCCAAGTGAAATTAGAATCGCCTTCAAATACTTCTTCATCTTCACAATTTTCGGGGACTCCGGTTAGCCACTCATTAGCCTCATCAATATTGTCCAAAAGAATTGGATCAATTAGATTGCGGTGGTTGTAGCGACGCCTCAATGCTCTATTGTATTTTATGAACACTAGATTATGGAGGCGCTTCAAGGTTAGTCGATTCCTCTTCTTTGTATGAATCTGCAAACAAGATGTGTCAACTAATTAGTAGGAGTTGGGACAATTGAGATATAATTTACTTTATCTCAAAACACGAAATAATTCTTTTTATTTCTCACGAGTTCAAAAACGCTCTAGTTCCTTTCACATCTGGATGAGCTACAAGTTAAACTTAGAACTCTGATGGCGAAAGTCTGTAAATCCGGAGTCTACACCATATTGGTCCCACCACTCAACTATAGAAGTGAAAAAAATAAATCCGGAGTCTACACTATATTGGTCCCACCACTCAACTATAGAAGTGAAAAAAAATATTCAAAAGTTAATAAGTATAAAAAATACATTAAAGTTAGAGCTATAAAATATAGAAGCACTTGGTCACCTAGCGACTTCGTCTTTCTTTGTTTAATACCAAGTCGGAGCTTAAAAAGTCCTTCAACTGCCTTGTAAATAGCAAGCTGATCTACTATATTTTCTTGCAAGTCTTCATCTGGGGTCAACTTGATAACAACCTCATGGAATCCTGTCCACATTTCTCTAGCCAATGAAATATTCTCATGCTGATCATAAAAGAGTGACAGGTTCAGGATAAGTCCAGCTGCATGCAAAGGTCTATGAAGTTGCTCACTCCATCTTGCATCAATGATCTGAAAGACCTTTGCATATTTCTGCTCATCAGTGAATGATGCTTGAATAGCCTCCTTGGCCCTATTCATAGCTTCATGGAGGTAGCCCATTGGTGGTTTTTGCTCCCCATCCACCAAACGGAGTACTTTAACCAAAAGGCCACCAATTTTAAGAGCATAAAGGACATTATTCCAAAAAGAATAAGAAAGAATAATGCGTGCAACATCTTTCCCCGCATGTTCCTTTGCAAATTTACTCTTGCTCCATTCCTCTGAAGTAAACAACTTTCTCAAATTGGCTTTTTGCAAGTGGATACTATGCAAAGTCAAGAAAGCAGTGGCGAACCTTGTCTTGCCCGGTTTCACCAAATTTTTTTGTCTGGTGAATCTTCTCATCATATTCAATAACAAGGGCTGCTGAGAAATATAAGAATGTACCCTAACGCCCTGGTCAAAAACTGTAGAGAAGGGTTTTTCCTTGAAAATGTCCGCGAATATTAAGTTAATACAATGAGCCGCACGTGGAGTCCAATAGACATTCTTGTACGCTCCTTCCACCGTGCCACATGCTTTCACATTTTCACTCGCATTATCAGTGACCACTTGAACAACTTTGCTTGGGCCAATCTTTTCAATGGTGTTCTGAAACAAGGTAAACATTTTGATGTGGTCAATGGATGAGTCGCTAGCATCAATGGACTCAAGAAACAAACTTCCCTTGGGAGAATTCACCAACACATTAATAATCATTTTCCCAGTTCTTGTCGTCCACTTATCCATCATAATGGAGCAGCCATACTTGTTCCACGCAACTTTATGTTCCTCCACAATTTTATTAGTATCCTCCACTTCCTTATTTAGATAAGGACCTCTGATTTCATGATAAGTGGGAGGCTTCATTCCAGGTCCGTATTGACCAACGGCCTCAATAAAGTCTCCAAAAGTGTCAATATAACTGACACAATTGAAGGGGAAACCAGCATCATAGACCCATCGTGCAAAAGCCCTAACTGCACGATCCCTCAAAATGTCCTTAGCAATTTTTTGTACATCTTTTCCACCGCTCTTTCCTTCCGGCTTCTTTGGGAAATAGCAATCTATAGGACCTTTAGTCCTACTCGTACCCGTCGATCCATGGCTTGAAGAGATTGCATCTCTTCCCCGTTTTGTTGGAAGTGACAATTCTTCAATATCATCATCATCATCAAGATTGGTGGTTGATGACTAATTTGATATTTTTGCTCCTCCTTCTCAACAAAATTCTTTATTTCATCCCACCTCCGGTGGGCATTTTGGATAACTTGTGACGTTTCTATCGCCACCAATAAGATGAAATTTAAAGTGATAAATTTCACCCGTTGTAATCTTGTTACAAAACTTGCATACAACATTTGTATTCTTCTCATTAACTCTATCGCCATATCGCCAAGCCGGGTCTTTCTCTTTCGATCTTTGAGACATTTTAAAATCCCTATTAAGATATAAGAAAATACATAATCAAATAAATNATAATGAATTTTCTAAAAAAGAAGAACTGAAGAAGAAAGAAAAAAGAAAAAAATGAGAAGACCTGAAGAAGAAAGCAGAAGAAAGAAAAAAGAAAAAAATGAGAAGAATTACCTGGACAGCTGGACTGGAGAAATGGTCAGTAGGTCGAGCCGCGAGCGAGAAGGGAGAAGGGGTCGAGCGAGAGCGAGAGAGAAGGGGTCAGCAATGGCGAGAACCCTAGGTTTTGTCGATGTCTTTGTTTTGTCGAAGGGTTCTGTTTTGTCGAAGGGGTCTTTTTGTCGATTTAGGGGTCCGTTTTGTATGATAAAAAAACAGACCCAAAGTTTTTTTTTTTTTTTAAAAAAGGGCCCTCTGCGATTTTCTAACAGAAGCGATCGCTTCATCGCTTTCCTCGCTTCGTCGATTCCTCCATTGAAGAGTGCGCTTCCCTCGGTCGAGTCGCCTCAGGCAGCTAGAAGCGACACTGGGTCGCGTCGCGTCGCTTCGCGCTTAAAGCGACGAAGCGATCGCTTTTCTTAAACACTGAGTGATGCATGATGCAACCTAAACCTGCTAAAAATAGCTCAATAAATTGCAGCAAATAGTAAGGACTACAACCTGCAGTATTTCTCAGTCAATTGAGCCAAGTAGACATCACAAAATTGGAACTTGAAGAACTAGGTGATCAGTCTTCTCATAATTCTGGGAATTTAGCTTCAATGAGCTGCTTTTAAATGGTAGAAGTCTGAAGGAACTGCCTTCATTTATCAGAAACCAGTTGGACCTATTTCATTCTGTTTTGGGAATTTATTTCCTTATTAGCTATCAGTAAGTACAAAGTAAGAATAGAGTGGAAGATGCTCAAAACTGGTGCTCTTCGTGAGTTCATGATGACTTCAGTTGTCACCACTCACCAAGGTTCACAAGTGAGCATCAACACATAGTAAACCAAATTTCATATAGGCAAGATATCGATTCTGATTTGGTTCTAGAGCAACCAAAGATCAATGCCTATCACTTGCTAACTCAGCCTAATGTGGCAACATGCACCAATCTCCCTTCCCTAAAATCACCCTTACAAGAAATATTATTTACAATTATTACAAACCGAATATATAAACAACGAGCAAGCCATTGCATTCAACTGAAAAATGAGCTGAAATAAATAAAGTAAAAAAGGTCTTACTCTGCCTTCAGGGCTCTTCTTCATCCTTTCAAGAACCCTATCAAAAGCTGGTTTCCCTGTTGTCTCACCCAAAGCAGCGATAAGATCTGCTCTTCGAGGATCTAGCAATGCCCCAACTGCAGAACCAACTGCAACTGCAGCCTGCTGCCACCCTTTCAACCGAATGATACCACTCCTTTCTATCATTGCAACAACCCAATTCTGAAAAACAAACAACTGAACTCTGAAACACACCCTAGAATATGGCCTAGTGGTCAAAAGTGGAATGAGAACCATGAAGTCTCAGGTTCAAAAGAGGCAAAAAACACTAGGTGATTCATCCCATCTGCCTACGACTTGGTGGGTAGAGTTACCGCTTCCTGTGCTGGAGGGAGGCAGTAAGTACCCGGTAAAATCGTCAAAGTGTGCACAAGTTTGCCCTACACTACCGTCATTAAAAATAAATTAAAAAATTAACCAGGAAACAAAAAATTTGAAATCAAAATCCTTAATTTCCACGAAACAATTACATGAACTTCAAGGACCCGCCAAAATATATCTATTTACAAGCATGATTCGCCAAATGATAAGGAAAATATGATTGAGACATTTTTACAAACAGTTTGTGAACAAGCATGAGATTGTTAATTTTAAAAGAAATTAAGATGGATAAAAGTTATAATGATGTTATTGGTGGTTTAAACATTAAAGGGGTTGTTAAATAATGCGTAAATCAGCGGAATTTAATAGTTCATACCGAAAATCAGAGAGGAAGAGCACCACCGAGCTCCAAAGCGCTGAACTTTCACGTTTTGTTTCGTTTTGTTTTTCTTTTGCCCCGGTAAGAAATTCTTTTGGCTTTTGATACTTGTACATGTTTTTAAGTCGGTCCCCTAACTCCCAGTTTTTACATTTTAACACCTCTATTTGACGGAATGACTATTAACAAAGATATTTGACCATTGATCGTGCTTATCTAACGACAGCATGACTGATGTAGCCAAGGTGCATGCCAATCACGTTAATGAGGTATGTTAATGTGATGATTTTTATTTTAAAATACTATAAGTATAATCAACAATCAGAAGCGTTTATTAACAGTTATTTCATCAATTAGAAGTATGAAAAAACAACGAAAGTTGGCAGTTGACTTTAAGAACGGGGACAACTACCAGAGGCGGATCTAGAAATTGAAGTGTATGGGTTTCTACCGCAATTTTAAGTCAATATATTACAATAACCGAATTAAGGAACGAGTATCAATATCCAACATATATTTAGAAAATAACAAAACACTTAAAGACAATATATGAATATAAACATTATCATTACAATTGTACTCGACGACTTGTCATGTTTTGAAAACTATCAATGATCGGATCATTAGGTACACTTTCAAATACTTCATCCTCTATATAACAAACTAAACAATCATTAAAAAATTCATCACCAATTCTGCTTCGCAAGTCATTTTTAACGTACTTCATCGAAGAAAAAGCTCTTTCTACCGTTGCAGTAGCGACATGCAATATCAGACTTAACTTCACAAGCAAATAAACAAGTCTCCAAGTCATGTGCAAATTTGTTTTAACCAATGTCTTTGAAAGATCTCCAAGTCTTTTCAAGTTAGATAATTCATTGCCCGCCTCTCGCACAGTCAATATAGATGTCAAGCTTAAAACTAAGATCCTCAAGCATAGAATCAGTGAACTCATTCGGGTAGTGTGTAGCAAGTTTCATAATCTTGTCTTTATCATAATTTGCAAAAGAATTATCTGAACTCAAACTAGCCATACCAAAAAGTAGATCAGTATTCACTTCATTGAAACGATTGTTAAGCTCCGAAAGTTGCAAATCAATAATAGCATAGAAAACCTCTACACGCAAATGATAAGAATATGTAACACTTGATTTCTTACGCTTTGAATTTCCACGAACATAATTCATATCCATTTCGGGGATCACAATACCATGTTTGACATAAAATAAAGAGACGTCTCTTATCAAAGAATTCCATCTAGAATCTCTCATATCTTGCAATTGTCTCTTTGCGAAACCAACAAGCTTCATTGCACTTGCAATATCTTGATCTTTTTTTTTGCAAAGCTATATTTAAATCATATGTAAGTGCCAATACTTTCAACATTAAATGTAACATATACACAAAGTCATAGGATCTTATGTTATCCACTAGACTTTTTGCCATTGATCTCTCATGATAATTTGAACTGTCAATTGCAAGAACTCCAAGTACATGAACAATTGATGAGAATAAACTAATAAAATTATGCACTGTCTTAAAATAAGAACCCCACCGAGTATCACCTGCCCTTTGAAGTCCAAGTTATTGATTTAAACCGCTTCCTGTATGAACTTCACCAAACACTAGTAGTTCCTCTTATTTTTCTGCTTGATTATCTCGAAGCATCTCCATACGCTTAAAAGAACCCCCAACAATATTTAAAACATTTGCAAGAATATCAAAAAATTATTCGGTCTCATAATATTTTTTTGCAACAGCTACAAGAGTCAATTGCAATTGATGAGCAAAACAATGTATGCAATATGCTGAAGGAGTATCATTCATAATCAAAGTTTTAAGACCATTAATTTCTCCCTGCATGTTACTAGCTCCATGATAACCTTGTCCCCGTATTTGATATTTACTCAATGAATGTCCCAAAAGCAAAGAATAAATTGCTTCTTTTAATGACTTTGCAGATGTATTTTTAACATGAACAATGCTATGAGTTAGAGAGATTCGGTTAAGATAACTTGGTTGTGTGCAAATGGGTTTCGAAGAGTTCTCGATAATTTTTACCACGGTTCGAGGAGTATAGTTCCTACCGGCATGAGGAATATGTTGCGTATTGAAATTTTCTCCGGGGTGAGATCAAATGGAAGGTTTATGACTGATCGAGTATGTATTCTGCTTGTGACTCAGAGTTAATTGCGAGATTCTTGTACTCTTCGCAGGATGGCATAGTAGATGCAGTGTTGTGTGGGATTTGATTTGCATGTGTAAGGTCAGAGGTCAGTTTGAAAGGGAATGGCATAGATTCGTAGGCAGCATGGACAATTTCAGATAACTAGGTAACTGATATTACTAATCGGTATGGCTTGATGAGAGTATACATTTCAGAAGGGGCAATGTGTTTTTATTTATGGATACTTCATTGGTATTGCGACATTCTCCTGGTTGATCGACTGCTGATATTCAAATTTTGCTATGTGGCGCGGAAAATTTTTAGAAGTATTCCTCGTGGGATGATCGTGTATGAGAGGTGTGTTAGACATTCGGGCAGTGGAGATGGAATCAGAAATGGTGATTCGTGTGTTCTATGGATTTGGAGACTGGGAGTTCTCATGAGCAGATTGTTTCATGGTTGCGAACTGTGAAGTCGTGGCCGAATCTAGCCAGATGATAGTATGTATTATGATTCAGTCATTGTGGGCTTTTGGAGGGTTATTTATCTATTTGTGGGTGGCCGTAGTTGATTTGGGGGTCCATTGGTAGGCCCAATTAGAATGTGTATTCTACACCGAGCCATTTTGGTTGGCTCCATACTGCTATTGTTGAGGGATGTGCCATTCGGTTGTTGTTGAGATTATTCGTGTTCTGGAATTTCTATGAGTTACTCTTCTATGCTACGAGGAGTTGTGATTCGTTGGTTTTAGGCACACATGGTGCGGTTCTATTGTGGTCTTATATCAAAATTTGAGCGAGATGAGTAGTTGGGTATTGCATGATTGATTGCGTATTGGTTATGTCCTTTCGAGTTTTGGGTGGCATTGTGTCATTAGCTTCTCCGTGGTTATGGTAATGCACTTTGAGTACTTGATGTCGGATTACGCGTGGTTATTGATTTTGAGCATGATGGCTGAGGTATTTTATATAGACCAGTATTTGGATAGGGTCGCTCATTGCAACAGAGTGATGTGGAAATATGATCCTTTGTATTAGAGTTGTGTGTTATGATTCTATGGTGTGTGATGGGTTTAAGCATTTCGTTGTGGTGGTACTTGTTGAGCTTGGGGGACGGTTCTCTTGTTTAAGTCATTTTTCCATGATTGAGTATATTTGGAATGTTGCTATTTGGTGCACGGATTGCACAGGTTGTGATTGTAGATTGTATTGATGTGTCATGTCACTAGAGTGGTCGTGTTGGATGAGATGAGGTCATTGGACCTAGGATAGATACTATCGGATTTGATTACAGTATGTTTGGAAGGATAATATCGAAAGTCGACTTAGAATTGGCTATGGTTCTTGTCGAATGAGAGAGAGTCCATGACTGGTTGATCTGATAATGGTTATGAGTTATGCATGTTTCTTTCATCATCGGTAGTGTGCGAAGGTTTTAGAGCGATGCTTTGTTTGATATGAGGTCTATTACCGATATTGGGTTGTTTTGAGCAGCTACTGTGATTTGAAATTTTTGCTATGAGTATTTGAGTTATGTGGTACATTATGTGATTGCATCTTGGGTTATAGATATGGCTTGATACAACTTGTTCAGACTTATACAGTGTGTAGATACGAGATTCTGATCTTATAGAAATTGTGGATGTTGGAAATATGATTCTAAGGTTTATGGGCTAGGTTGAATTAAGAACTACAGTTATGTTGTATTGTCGGGCCTATATGGGATATGGTGACGTGAGATCACCCCCGGGTATGTGCATAGTAAGGTTATACATCGGTTTGATGGCTTTGAGAACAACTTTGGACACGTTCGAGGACAAACGTATGTTTAAGTGGGGTAGGATATAACGACCCGACCGGTCGTTTTGAGTATTTACACTTCGCTCGGTTGTTTGAGGGCATGAGTAGCTCTGTATGATATAATATGACTTATGTGAATCGTCGGTTTTGGTTTTCAGGTTATTCGGAATTGATTTGAAAGAATGATTCTCAGCTAGAAGCTTTAAATTTGAAAGAGTTGACCAAATTTGACTTTTTGTGAATTTGAACCCTGAACGGAGTTTTGATTGTTCCATTAGCTCTGTTGGGTGATTTCAGACTTATGAGCGTGTCTGGATTGTGATTTGGAGGTCCGTGGTTGAATTTGGCTCGAAATGGCGAAAGTTGAAATTTTGGAAAAGGTTGATCGGGAATGGACTTTTTGATATCGGGATAGGATTCTGATTCCGGAAATTGGAGCAGGTCCGTAATGTCGAATGTGACTTGTGTGCAAAATTTGAGGTCAATCAGACGTGATTTGATAGGTTTCGGCATCGGTTGTGGAAGTTTGAAGTTTCAAAGTTCATTGAATTCGAATTGAGGTTCGATTCATCGTTCCGATGTTGTTATGTGTGTTTTGAGGCCTCGAGTAGGTCCGTGTTATGTTATGGGACTTGTTGGTATGTTTGGACGGGGTCCCGAGGAGCTCGGGCGTGTTTCAAATTGATTTCAGATCATTTTTCTTCATTTTGGTACTACTGTGTCCTGCTGTTTTCTGGTGTCTCAGTTCTTCATCACGTTTGCGTGGCAAGTGTCGCGAACGCATAGTGTATTTGGATGGCAGTAGCATTTTTTCATCGCGTTCGTGAGTAATGGTCCGCGTTCGCGTAGTGTTGGGGCAAGTCTCGCGTTCGCGTATGATGGATCGCGGACGCGTAGGGTTGAACTAGGAGCCGGAGGCCGTCTTCATCGCGTTCGCATAGTTGGAGCTGCGTTTGCGAAGGTCTGAGCCAGTTGTGAGTCGCGTTCGCGAGGGTTTTACCGAGAACGCGAACTGTATTATGGTGGCAAATTATTTTGTTCATTGCGAACATGATGGTATTGCCGCGTTCGCGTAAGAGGATGCCCGGGCAGAAGTTTAAAGTACTCTATTTTGAGGGTTTCGACCATTTTTACATTTT